GTCCTTTAGACAGGGGAGATTAATCTGAGTTAAACAGTTTGAACACAAACATCAGTGTTGTGGTAATAACTCTGCTCAGTTGTATGTGGGCAAATGATCTCTTAGTGGAGGCTTTCTTACTAATATCCAAGATAAATTTGTTACAAATCACATAAAACGTTTTGTGTTAGATTTTCCTTGTGTTTTATGGTTGGGGGGGGGGGGGTTGAACTGTAATGGGTAAAACCATCCACAAAGAACTAGCCAGCTTTGGCAGTGCCATCAGAAGACATTGTGAGATCTGCCTGATGATGGCATTTCACTCTGGGATGGTTGTCCTTCCCCCACACCACCAGCCACTTGTTCTCCCATGCCCCACACCTGAGCCCTTCCTTGGCTTGCTCTACTGCTTCATCAGGAACAGGCACACAGCTGGGCAGGGAGCAGCACAGCCACACTCCCTGGCACCCCCAACCCCACGCCAAACCAGCCACTGCTGCCACTCTGGAAGGGATTTTGGCTTTGTGCTTGTCATCTTTAGTCACCTGGACCAAGGGGTCTCTAGTTATGGGACACGGTGGGGGCAGCGATTTCTCACCCAAAGGTATCTGTGCCCAGCAATTCCTGCAACTCCTCCAAGTCAGGCAGTTGGGGTTTGTGTGGCAAGGTCATGGTAGTGAGGGGTGGCTTCTCTAAGAATGTGCCAGAAGCTTCCCCTGTGTCCAACAGAACCAGTGCCAGCCAGCTCCAAGACAGATCCACTGCTGGACAAGGCTGAGCCCCTCAGTAACAGTGGCAACACCTCGGCTAAGAAGGGGGGAAAAAACCTGTGCAACTGCAGCCAGAGAGAGGAGTGAAGATATGGGAGAGGAACAACTCTGCAGACACCAAGATCACTGAAGAAGGAGGAGTAAGAGGTGCTTTGGGTGCCAGAGCAGAGATTTCACTGCAGCTTGTGGCACAGACCACGTGAAGCAGCTGTCCCCCTGCAGCTCACGGAAGTCCATAGTGGAGCAGAGACCCACCTGCAGCTTGTGGAGATCCCACATGGGAGCAGGGGGATGCCCTAATGAGGCTGCAACTCTGTGGGAAGCCTTCACTGGAGCAGTTAATGAAGAACTGTAGCCCACAGGAAGGACTTGTGTTGGAGAAGTTTTGGAGAGGTGTCTTCTATGGGAAGGACCCCATACTGAAGCAGAGGAGGGGTGTGAGGAGTCCAACCCCCACGGAGGAAGGAAAGCAGAAATAACATGTGATGAACTGACCGTAACCTCCATTCCCCATCCCCCTGTGATGGTGGGTGGAAGGATGTAGAGAATTTGGGGGCGAAGTTGAGCCTAGGAAGAAGAAAGGGGTAGGTGGAAGGTGTTTTTAATATTTGGTTTTATTTCTCATTTTCCTGCTCTGATTAGTTTGGTAATAAATTAAACTAATTTCCCCAAGTCGTGACTGTTTTGCCTGTGACTGTAAGTAAGTGCTGAGAGATCTCTCCCTGTCTTTATCTCAACCAATGACCCTCTCATTATATTTTCCTTTCCCTGCCCAGCTGAGGAGTGATAGAGCGGCTTTGGTGAACCCCTGGCAGCCAGCCAGAGTCAACCCACTACACCAGTGCAGAAAGGCACAAAACACTTTTTGGTCAAGTTACCAGCCTTGATGGAGTTCTCGCGTCTCTGAAGTGGTGGTGCCGCCCGTCGCTCAGTGAGGAAGGTGCTGAGCTCACTTCAGCCCCAACAGCTCGTGCAGCAGCGGCACAATCACGGTAGCTGTGAAGCCAACTGAGGAGTACGTGATAAACTTATAGGGCACTTCAACTTCCAGTCGTCTCCGGGCTTCCAGGTCACGAATGGGAAACTTGTACCGATAACCCAGTGCACCAAGGACCACGCTCTTCATGAGCCAGCGTGTCAGTAGAACAACTAAGATGCCTACAAAGAACCTGGCTAGCACAACCACCAATCTGCTGGTGATCAGAGGAAATCCAAGCTCCAAACTTTTGCTGGCATAGACTGGTGCAGTGTACTGGTTGGTTAACCAAAATCCCACAGTTGCTCCAGCTGTTGCTCCTAAGATAGTAGTGGTGTCTCCCCTAGTAGGGCTATAATAGTCTAGTTTGGGGTAGTTGTAACATAAGACAAGAGGCACAACTATGGAAAGCAGTGGGCAAAAGGGACTAGTTAACAGCAAGTGATCTATCATGTCCCACGCAGGATACAAGAGCATGAGCAGCACGGCCGAAATCAGTGCTCCACCGATCACATCCTGCAAAGAAATTACGTTTAGGAACTTTGTGAGACCTGGAAGTTAAACAAGATATTCAGGTGATGATAAAAGACCATTATCTGCATTGGTGGGTGCCCAGCAGTGGAGGAACACACTGAATCACAGAGATGGCACTATTCATGTGCAGGGACAACCTGAAGCCTGTGCTAAACAAAACCCAACCCAGATACATACAGATATGCATGTATCTGTGGACACATATATTTCCCCTGAACAAGTGAAATTCTCCCCCTCACCCACTCTCATGTTTTAAGTGCACTCTTCACCTACGACCTGAATGGAAAAGGCACATGCACAGCTCCACCTCAGGGACAACCTCGCAGTAAGCTGCCTTCACACAAACCCTTCCCCTCCCATTATCCTACAAGTAATTTCATCACATCAGCAGGATTATCACTGGCTTGCTTTGCATAAATGGGAAGATGCTGTTCTTTGTCAGAGACAAGCTCCCATCCTGGTAACACAAGCTCCAGGGATGAGAAGTGCAGAGCTGTGGGACGTGGTGCGTGTGCCATGATTTCTGCCAGCCTTGGCAAGAGGCAGGCACTGCCAGGCAGGAATACATCAAGAGGGAATTTGTTGCCCAAGCCACTGAAGTCCGGCTCTTAGTACAGCGCCTGAAGCAAGCACATAGTTAAACCCTAATTTATTAACAGAGGCAAATAAGGTGCTTTAAGAACTTGATTGTTGTCAGCTACAAAGCTGGGAAAGAAGACAGGAGGTAACCCTAACAAAAGCTGTGTGTATGAGAGCAGCCAGGTAAAAAGCAATAAAACAAGTTTACCTGTGCTGCTCTCAGAGGCAGCAGAGTTAGTACTCTAGCTACAAAATACACTGCAAAAGCTCAAGTTAGTCACAGACAGAAATGTCCCTCTTCTCAGGGTTGTTTCTTTTTCACCAAATCATGGCAGTATGAATACTACCATGCTTGGTCATAGTCTGAAAATGAATTATTTATGCAAACTTCACTTTTAATTAGGCAGGAATGAGGGGACTTTTTCACAACAGAAATATTTAATGGCGTTCTGGTAAATGCATTACTCCAGTATGACTGAACTTCAGCTGTTTACAACTTCCAGGCAATAGATTCACAGTATGTTTTAAGCAACTTCAAGAGCCATTTTGCATATCCCTAATACAAATTTCCGCTTGCATTTATTCCCTCATTCATAACTTTAGGATAGCCATGGAAATACACAAAGTTGTTCACAGATATCTAGTATGTAAAATACGATTAGGTGTCCATATTTCATAATAATTCCTCTTTTTATATCAATTTTTAGGTGATAACTTTACATGCAAAGCATGTTTTGGCCCAACACTAAGTAAGTACCTCAGCACAAAAGAGCTGAGGACTGCTCCCAGGACTGATGTTCAGAAATTCCATCCCCACTCTGTACCTCTATTTCCCACCCTGTTATTTGTCCACCTCATATTAGAAGAAAAAGTCCTTCTAAATACCCCTCTATGGGTGATCAAGGAGTGAACTCAAAAGCTGTTCACGTGCTTTTCTTTTCCAATTACAGAGATGTAACCAAACATCATCATTCCCTCACAAAGGCTTTGCTCAGATTTACCCAGCCAACTACAGCAGTTCCCAAACCGGTTGCAGACAGTGTCTATTTACAAACCCGATTAAAGTTTTCTGAATTTTATTATCCTCCCCATTCAGCCCCAGCACAGTCACACAGCTCCTGTAGCTTTCAAGCAGGACCCAGATAACCAGCTCTGCCCCAACCGGTGGCTTATACCAGTAGTCTCCAAATGGGGTGCACAAGGCAACCCTTCGGGCTGGGGGAAGAAAATAGCTTTGGCACCACTAATGAGTAAAATAAAATATACATATTTTTTCAAAGTACTGTTTATTTTATCCTTCTCTTACATTTTTTAAGTCTATTTTGTGCATGTTTTATAACATATGTATCAGTACAGTAGTACATGTATGCAATTCCTAAGTAAATATATGTATGCATTTATATATTTATATATCCTAAGTAAATATATGTATTATTTACATGTATAAAAATATGTATGTATAGGTGGTGTATGTTCAAAATTTTTTACTGAACAAAAAAGTTTGGAGGCCAGTGGTTTATTCAGTTTTTAAGCCCTATCCACCAATATATGGGCTGCTCATATATTAAGAGCTTAAAGCTTACTAGAAGCTGCTGGAGAGCTCAGGACACACCCAGCCATGGCAATCTGTGGTGACTTCCTTCGGTCCTGGTGTGCATGGATAGCTTTGAATTTTTGAACACACAGAGATGTTCCAGACCAACCCTTTATACAGACATTTAGCAGTGAATTAATTATTTCCCCCCCGCCTGTTAAACTAAGGAGCAAATGGGAAGAGGAGGGTCGGCTCCGATTTCTGCGAGAAACGCTGCTGTTCTGGACCCTCCCTGCTGTGCCCCCTGGAGCAGGACCCGAGTTTTTCCCGGGGGTGGAGCTGCTGTTAGCACTCCCAGGAAGCACATTCTTTCCTATACGCCTGTGTAAACAGATTAGCCTCTCGCCAAGCCCACAATTATAAAGGAATTTTTAAATAAGGGCAGGCACGAATTTTGCTCAAGGTGCAGTACTACCGGCAAAGCTTAAAATCCCCTGCTGGGATGCTCCAGCTTCCTCAGCACAGATGAGCCCTCCACAGGCTCCATCTACCTCCCCAAAAGGCCCCCCACTGCTCTCCAGCTCAGCCCCGCTCCCACATGGTACCAAACATCTGCCCCTTTTCAGCACCAGCGAGGCCTCTCTCTCATGGATTTTAAGTGGAGAGCTGCCAGTTTGCTTTGCTGCCCTAGGAACAGGCCACTGGGGGAGTTTCTAATGCTGCACTCATTCAGATTGTTTTGCTGTGCACCAGGTACATACAGAAAAACAACAGAGGCAAACATCCAGTTTCAGGTGATGCCTGGGATGCAGGACTGGGGGCTTCAAGATGCTCCCTGCCTGTCATCAGGGTCCGTGAGTACCATCACCAACTGCCATTCTCGCTGGCTTTTTATTTTACTATGTCATAGAGCACAGTTTGGTGTAGGATTGAAAAAGCTTTCTGGAGGTGAGACCCTCCTACACTCTTCCCACTGAATCTACAGTTGGAATTGCAAACACTCACAAAATCCCTCAGGCTATCAAACCAGCACAAACCACCAAACCTGTTGGCACTCAAGCACCTTTCCTGATATTGCCAATCAAAGCAAAAATCACACTTTTCCCATTCTGTCTTGTACATGGTCACCTATTGCCTGAGTTACCTTCATATTTTCATTTAATGTGAAACTCCAGCCGGTCTCCTAAAGATGAATATCTTATTTGGTTTCCATTCCTAAAGGTTACTTTATTTCACCCCCCAAGGACTGTACTGCACAGCGTGTAAAGTAATGTGAATATGTTGTTTCTTGATCAGCTTTAAAATATTTAGGATAATTTCAGGATTAATGGTACTATTAAAAAACCTGCAATACAGCACAGGAAAGGGGCAATGTGGAGGCTCCAGAACACCCCCTCCTGAGCACAGTGTCATCAGTAGTAAATGAATTGGTGTATCTTGGGGGAAAAACAAGTGACTTTGTTTACAGAAACAACTTTCACGTTTCTTTTTGGTCATAAAAAGCGACCTTTTGACTCCTCCCTATACTCTGCACACAATGCTGGCCAGCACAGGGAATTATTGCTTGTAACTCAGGGCAGCTGCAGTACCAGTGAGGTTCTCACCACATCAGCTGTGGCTCTGGAGGGACAGGCTTCAGCAGCAGAGACAGGAAAACTTGTTCACTGCACTGAGGCAGAGACCAAAAACTGGGCCAATGTTTTAAGATGGCAAGCAAAGGGATATTTTCTAAAATACAGTTCTCTGGTGAAAAAGGCAAATGAAACAACCACCAGTATTATTGTCTCCAATTGCTTTTTGTTCCATAAAAATAACTCCTAAAACCTTACGGATTCACTGTTTCAAAATGTGTCCAAATTTTTGCTTTGGCCTTTCCAGGTAACTCCAGATTCCCTCTTTGCCAGGCCTTCATATTCCATCATCTAAGGCCTAAAAGAAATGACCCTGCCCTTCCACACACGTGGGACATTCTGGTGTTGAGGCCGTGAAGGTGGGTTGTTGTAACTAATTTACCTCTAAGCAGTGCAAGTGCATTGCTGCCACCCCATTCTTTGGCTGGGTGATGTTCTCCCAGTAACAGCCCAGGCAATGGGTGTTTATTCCCTTTTCCCTAAGCATAGTATTCGTTCTGGTACAGCTATAATGATGCAGATAGCTCTCATACCAGCTTACTGCCTCTCCAGAAGGTCTTCAATGGTCACATCTCTTCTACTGACATGACTGTGCTTTCTGAGACCACTCTTGATTCAAAAGCGAGACCAGTGGTGCTGAAATACAAACTGATTTGTAGAACTGAGACTCCAGAAGACAAGCTTCTGCACCCAAGCTACAGTTGTAGCAAAGCACAATGCAACCCTCCTTGTCACTCCTCTTGTTGTTCCTCGGAGAGGAAAAATTCAGTTACACCAAGATGGTGGATATATGTTACCCACCATGTTATCCACTTACTTTACTAAAATATGATGGTTAATACATAATTATATCCTTTGTATTAAAACCTCAGTTAAAAATCCAGCCAATGGCTTGGCTGAGCAGCTGCTGCACCTTGGCCCCATGGCATCAGACATGGCTCAGGGCAGGAGCCATCCCTCAAAGTGTGGGAAACGGCTCTGAACTGCACTTGTTCCCCCAAAGAACCAATCACTGCAGGTGGGGCACCAGAACCAGTCATTGTGGGTGGCACACTGCTGCAGAGAGAGGGGTTGCATTTGGGCAGCTGTGATCTTGGACCTTTCCCCATCTCAATCCCCACCACAGTACATATGGGATGAAGACTCCAGCAAAGTACATTTGCCCTTTTGAAAGGCAGCATTGCTCCCACGTCAACTAAGGAGCTTTTTTTTTGGTTATTTTAAAGCCCTTTTTTACCATGTCAAAAGCACAAAGGACGTTTTCTTCTTTACCCTAAAATCCATCTAAATTTAGAGGAGTCTTTCATTATAATGGACCAGCAAGAGAAGTATGCAAAGAATTTTTACTGATTGACTTAAGGTCACTAGCCAAGAAAGGGTGTCTCCAGCTTCGATGTAAGTTATTGTTTTGATCCACTAGGCCTGAAAGGGAAGGTCAAGCTATATTTTATAGCTAACCCTAATCTCATAAGGGCTCCCTTTCTTACAGTCACCAAGTCTCATTACAAACATAATTACTGCTTAGTAAAAAAAGATTAAATTATTTATGCACATGCAACCAACAGTGCATATCAAACTCCTGCGGGGAAGTAGCCAGGATTTTTTATCCGTACTTGGGAAGCTGGACCACCACCCTGACCACTATATATAACACATAAATAGTGTTTGCTCTTGTCAGGAAGGAACCAGTTACTGTGTTATCACAGGTACACTGAAATCTGTTCCTAAAACAGGACTGATGTCTCTAAGCAACTGTGCCCAACAAATCTGTCATATAAAGTCACAGATATTTTATGATTATTTTCAGACAAAGTATTTGCGCATCTTAGTCCTTTAAGAATTAGTTTCCTTCCAGCTGAAAACAAGAAACTTGTCATAATATTTTTATAAGTATGGTACCTTGTATGGTAACAGGAGACCTGCTGTCCCCCAGGCCCCCAAGAGCAGCTCACTTGCCATGGGTTACCCTCGTGACTCACCAACCTGCTATTCCTGCCCCGACACTCCCAGGCTAAACCAGCCCCGAGTATTTCTCGCTGAAAACAGTGATACTGTTGCACAAAAGGCTTAGCTAAGGATCAGCGTCAGTTACCCAAGTACATTCCTCACAATTAAAATTTCAAAATAGAGAACTACAATTGAGATGCCACCCCGACCTCACCCGGCTCCTCAACCTCCGCACGCTTGTGCCTCCCAAGTGCTATAAATTATTCCCCTGTGCACTCAAATAGCAATAGCCTGAGGGTTTCCTCACAGCTCCTTTGAATGCACAGCCTGAAATTCAGTGGCACAACTTTTGTATCTCTGTGGTGCCATGGCCAAGGCAGGTCACACATCATTTGAAGAGTGAGAGATGGGAATTGCTGTAGGAAAGCAGAGCTGGAGGCACAACCAGCATGGGGCTGGTGCAGGGCATCCTTACCAGGACTGTATGCATCCCCGTGTAGAGCCTGCTGAGACACACCAGGGTCGAAAACACAAACGCTGCTACCAGGCCGAGTTCAAATGGATACTGTGAAAAGGGAAAAAAATTAAAATAAATACATCCATTACACCAAGCAGCTGGACTGACCTAAGGATGTCTGCAAGGATCTCGTGCTGGGAAGTGGCTCCTGACCTGTACTTTCCCAAAGAGATTAATCTGACCTGAAAAAAGACCCCGCATCAGCCAACGTGCAATCCTGCTAGAAGGTCATTTCATTACCTGTGGTGCTGCTTTTGCAAAAATATAGTCTCAGTGTGGGGAATCCTGGGAAACAGATGGCATTTGCAGAGTTGTTCCCTTACAATATCTACCTTTATCATGTTAGTGCTAAAGACCTTAAGGAAAATGTCACAGCACGTACAACCAATGTCCAAGGTTGCACTGCAGCCTCACATCAGCCAAGGGGATTGTGACAGCCCCAGAGCCTGAGCAGATGTGTGATCAATAGTCCTCGAACAGTGGGCTGAGAGGGGAGAATCAATGTCTGGGCTGAAACCACAATCCGGCTATTAGAGCAGTCAGGACTGCTCTTCCCTGTGACACTTAAAATTTTAATCATCTTCTTATGAAGCTGTTTTTGCTTAATTCCCTCTCCAAGGTACCTGTAAACATGGAAAGAAGCATTTGAATAAGTCAATGTTTAAAAAGGAAAAAAACCTCCTACATTTGGTAAAGAATAAACTTAACATATTAGCCCTTAATCCACTCATTCAAATCCTGAAACCAAGTGGGTTGCTGAGTTCCTTTCAGTCCAAAAAGGAGATTTTTCTGTAAAAAATAAACCAACTCAAAATACAAATAAATGAAATTAATTCACCCAATTTGACACAAAGTCTCCATCTTCTGCCAGAGGCTGCCAACTCACCAGGGTGGCCACAGGTCAGAGCAAAAATGCATCTGTGGAAATTTTAAGCATAACAACTCTCTTCTGACCCTTTCACCCAGCATATTCTAACCACCAAATAGAGAGCCCAGACCCAGCTGCAGATGTCACTCCCAGTTCATAAAACACTACTTTTCCTCGCTTCTCTAAGCCTTCAGAGGATTTACACCCACTTTACTCCCCCCTTAGCGAGCAGCCTGGGAGCTAGTCCAGATCAGTAATTGATATTTAGGGCAGCTTGAGAAGATAGCAGCATAATGTTCTGGAAGATTTTTCTGTCCTAATAGAGGCAATTAAATCATTTAATTATTTGACAGCAGTTTTATTGTTTCATGGCAGCTTCCAAGAAGTGCCAGGCAGCCTGTGAAGAGCTGCGTGTCCCAGTGGTCACTTGTTGATTAAAGAGGAGGAGAAGGTGCTGCTGGACCAGGTCTTCTTGGCAGCTCTGACACATAGGATGGATCTGGTCTTCCAAGGATGACAAATATCCCATCTTATGGCTTCCTGTCCCCATCCCACTGTCAAGCTGTTCTGATCAGTTCCCACACAGTGATCAGGGAGCAGGGGGCTGGCAGCACAGCTTTGGGGACGACTGACCGGCTCACTTGTCCCCATGCTGTGGGCAGGAGAAAAGCCTGCTACTTCACAGCTGGGACCAGAGGGGTCTGGAAGTTAAATTATCTCAGACATCTCAGTGTAACTCAGAGATTCCCATTGCTATGAGCTGCAGTCCCAGGATGCAGTGAACAGTGGCCACCTTTCTCCCTGCACAGGGCTGGCACTGCAGGGGGGACACCCAGGGACACTGTGACAGCAAGACCCCCCTGGCTGTACTGCAAGCCCTCTTGGCTACATGGATTTATCCTTGAAATACACTTGAGAGGGCTGAGAAACATGCTTAAGTACAATGCAGCCAGGAAGTTATTATTGCTAGAGTACAGGAAATGCATGCTTGGATTCATGAAATGAAACGAAAATAATCATCATGGAGAAATGAGTTTCTAGTAAATAAACCTTTTAGAAAGATAATGAGGGAAAATAATGATGAAACATCCCCAAGCAGCCTACAGCTCCAGTGCAGTGAAATTGCTGTTACTTCTCTGGCAAACAGGCTCTCAAATCATGTTGTATGCTGTTAGTCTAACATATGTTAGAGGCAGGGGATTTCCAAGGATGCTTTTCCTCTCATACAAAAAACAGGTGACACAGAGCTCCTTGGTTTCCCTGGGAGCTGGCCTGTCCTGACGTACAGCAGTGACTTGGTGGGCATGGGATGAGCACAAAATGCTGGCATTGGGCACCTTCCCTCCACGGTCACCCTATGTGAGAAAGCACAGTGAACTCACCAAACCATGGCAGGGCAGGGCAGCCTGCCCACAGTTCATGCTAAAGAAAGGAAATTTCCACTGAGTTTCTTTTTGTGTCTATTATTGGCCAGCTACAGGTAACCACAGGAAAGAATACACACACACATCTGTGAAAATAAATACAGAGCTCCTCTGGGAGCGGCAACAGCTTTGGATTTGCCAGCTTTCTGTAGCTTGCTGGAAGCAGACACATGCTTTTTTAAAGACATGTATTTTCTTTTCCCTCCTTTCTTTTTGTACCCCCTACCTTGTACTGGTTCATGGTTGCAATGAAAAAGGAGAAGGAGATGGCTGTGGCTGCCATGGCGTGGGTGGAAGGCATCCCGTACTCCGCGTTCGTCCTCATTTCCAGCTTGACGACAGGTGGTGAGAGAGGCCGAGGCCACTTCAGGATGTCCTTGGAGACCTGGCCTATGTACATCACTATCTGGGGACAGGAAAGGCCACAGGGCTGTCAGTCAGCACAGGCAACCCCCATGCAACCCACCCAACAACCACCTGTATTTCTGCACTTTTTCCTGCAAAATCCACCCCTCCAAGTGCAGAATTTATCCCCTGAATTATTAAAGGGGTTGCCATTAGCTTAGTCAGAGAAGGAAGCAGCGGTTTTACTGCACCGTGTGGTAACCTGATCAGAAGTGGGACCAAAAGGAGGGTTGGCTGACGAGATGCAGCAATACAGGACAGCGTGAGACAGACAGCTGGCTCCCACCCCATCCCAGAGAAGTTTAAGTTCCCTCCCTGTCCCTCACACCCCCTCTCCTTCAAAGAAAACAGCTATAAGAGAAATTTTCCCACCACCATCTTTGAATCACTGCCTTGCCCAGCCGTGTCCCTCCCAGCTGCGTGCAGCACCAGCTCCCCCATTCCCAGCAGCTCCCACTCCACCCACTGCACGAGGTGCTGCAGGAAACCCTCTGGGATGCACCACCCGTGTGGTTATTAAATTACAACCTCAGCATCCTTGGTGAGGCAGCAGAGGGAGAACTGGACAAGCAACATGAAGTACCAGTTCTCCTGCCTAATTGCCCAGTAAAAGGCTTTTGTTCCCTGCTTGGGACCCCAGAGGTTTAAGCAAAGACTCCATTAATTAGCTCCCAAGCAGAGCAACACTATTTTTGGGGGGAAATGTTGCATTCTCAGTTCAGCAACAGAAGCAGAGGCAAGAGGCAAAGCTGGCCAGTATCCCTAAGAGGTGCAGCTCATCCAGCCATGCCCAGGGCACCCACTGTGTCGACATCCTCTGCTCCTTAGCACCCTCTTTCCTGCAGCAGGCTCTCAGCACCCAGTGAGGACTGAGAAAAATCAGCCAGGCTGTCCCTGGAGGATGCATTTCCTTTCTATTTCCAGCCTCCTCCCTTTAGATAGTGTAGCCAGACATAGGCAAAGAAGGCTCTTCAAAACAAAGCAAACTTTTTTCCTTTTTTTTTTAATATAAAAATCAGGTTAACTGATGTCTACCATGAAAGCTCAGTTACTGTGTGAGACAGCTCACTGTTCTGCTTCTCACGCTTCCACTAGGAAAGGAGGGGTCTTAAAATAACATCCTTCCCATGCTGGTGTTAGCCATATGCTACAACAGCAACACGATCATCCAGTGCCACATTTGTCACCAGCCACATTACATCCCTCTCTCTCCCAGCAGCCATTTAAAAAATGGCTTCACATTGAAAGAAAGACATCAGGACTCAGGATTCACGTCAGGACCAGGAAAAAGCCAAAAGTCATGTCCTTTTCTCTACAGCAAAACACATGCTGCAGGGAGTGCTAGACTTACAACCAGCACCAGAGCCTGGAAAAGTGATTGCTGGTGCCTTTTTAGCCTTTATCTCTCATCATGTGAATCACGTTACTGCCTTACTATCAGCACCAAGTGTGACACTCCTGGCTGCTCCTGCAGACACACAGGGCACAGGGGAGACAGCAAAAACCCTGCCCCAGACTGTTCACAGTAAACAAAGGCTCAAGGAACAAATGTCTTTTAGAAAACACTGTGTGGGTTTATTTGGTTAATGCTACCAGTTTCCAAATGGATGCAGGCACATATTTGGAAGTTAATTAAATTCTGGGGTAGAAAGCAAAATTACTCTCTCCAGCAGAACATAAAACATTGAGGCTGCTGTTTGTGATACCATCTGAGAGGCAAGGTAGAATGAGCCAGTTTATCAGCAGTCCTCTGTAATAATGACTTCCACTTGTGGAAGTATTATTAGTGCTGGTACGTAAGAGCATTACAGAAGAGGAAATGAGTCATCTCTAAAATGAAGGCTATGCTAGGACTCCTCTGATGGTGACAAACAGGCTGAATGCTTGAGGTGGTATGGGTAAGCAAAAATACCAGGCTTCTTCACAACACCCTCCTTCCTGGCATCCCAGATTAAATTCTGACCCTTCTACTTTTTAAAAACACATATTGTACAGATGGTGAGGAGAGGTGAGACAACCTCCGTATAAACACGAAGAGGAATCCAGAATGTGCTCAGACTAAGCACTGATCTCTGACACACCAGACCTTTGCCTTTAGCTTATCTGTGTACCGTGCACGTGTCTTTACACACAATGTCCTGGATTATTTGGCAGAAGCAGCAGTTGTGGGCGCAGTAAAACATCCCTCGCCAGCTGAACTGGCAGGCTTCCCCGAGAGGCGAAACATGGCAAGTGCTCATGTCTAAAGGCCACCCAGCACAGGTGTTGCTCTTCTTTGCCTGCACCCCACATGCTGCTCACACCAGCTGGAGGAGCCAGACTCAAACCACGCTCATCTAAGATTTAAATAAAACCCATTCCAAAAGTTTTTCTGTACCCGTGTACATTTCCACCCAAGGGGTCTCCAAGCCCAAGGCTGAACACTGGGGAGAAGAGGGAACAGGCCCTCGACCACAGAGCAAGCAGGTGCTGCTTGCTGTCTTGTAGGCATGGCAGAGAGCAAAACCTTGAGCCTCCATGCTTAATTGTTCTGTTTGCTTCTTCCTTGCATTGCTGACATTTTTTGCCTGCCTAGAGTGCTGTATTACAGCTCTCAGTGCTGTTCTTCTGTGTTTATTTCTAGCACAGGCTCTTTTAAATAACCCGAGTTTCAAAGATGTATGTGTGAAAAAGGGGCACTGCTAAGGCTGGCAGGGAGGGAGGGGAGCTGAAGCTCAAGGATGGACAAGAGAAAAGTACCCAAAACCAGGCCCCAAACCTGGGCAGAAAGAAGTGATGTTCTTGAACATCAGATAGGTTCGCACAAGGAGCCCTTGTCCCAAGACCCTCACCACACTTTTCCACAGGAATCCCTGTTAAGGGACACTCAGGGACCCTGCTTTCCCTCTGCATTTTCCAGTCCTACAAGCTATGGTTGAGACAAGAGCTACAGCATGAGTCCTTATTAAACAAATGATAGCAAAAGCAGGACCGTGGTCTGGGAATAGAGGTGTGGTGGAGGGGTCACTGGCAACCATCATGCACATGCATAGCAGGGAAGTGCCACCTTCCTGTCTGTGCTGAGGTGTGTGCATGCACACACAAGGAAAAGTTGCTCCCATAGCATTGACATGGTGGGGACCCTCAGGAAGTTATGTTAGCTCCCTAACATTTGCAGGGTCACTTTACAGGGGCATGGCAGCACCAGCTGTGGAAACTAAAGCACATCCCCTCAGTCCCTTCCTCCAAAGCCACAGGGGCACAGCCTGTCACCATGGGGCTATCCTCTACCATCTTCCCAGGAGACCCTGGCCTCAGGCTGTACAGCTCTCGCCTTAGTGCAGCACAAACCAGGCACTCCATTCATTGGCTGAATCTGTGAGCTGAACTCACAGGCAGAGGGAGAGCCCAGGGCAGGCTTTTCCTCCCAAGGACTCCTGCTCAGCACTGCACGGGAATGTGTTATCTGCATCTCACTCTGCTCCACAGCGAAGCAGTAAGAAACCCAGCTAACTGAGCCATGCTTGAAACCCAGAGTACAACTGCCCTAATCTGAACAGAGGTGAACAAGCCTCCTCTGTTTCTGCACTGCCAGGTGAGGTGCTACCACACCAGTTCAGCAATTCCCGTTCAGCTGGGAATGTGACACAGACTGTGCCTGAGCTGCCGTCCCTCCCAAGGGTCTCGCATCTATAACCACACAGGCTGAACACATGGGCCAGAGCAGCAAGCTGGACACACCAGTCTAAATCCAAGCCCATAGACACTATTATTCAGTTTTGGATCCTGTGAATTTTCTGCTCTTTTCTCGTACACATCCATGCCTTCCGAATGCAATGAAAATGACTCTGAAGTCTCCCAAGTTAAATCCTTACAAAAAATGTAAGCATCAATTAAAAAAAAATACCTGGGTAAGGACTTCTTACTTGTTCCCCTCTCAAAATTACTTTTTATTAATACTGTAAGCAACTTAAAATCAAGACTTCCCTCCCTGGTGCCTACCAGTACAGCTGGGGTTGTCTGTGCTGTGCGAGGGCAACAACAATCATTTACAGTAAGCCAGGGTATCAGGTGAAGGAAAGGCAAAGCCTTTGGGTCAACAGCATTACATTTTACTGCACAAAGGCAATTGGCAGTTGCTATAGCAGCACGACAGCCTCTGTAGTCTTTTTCTGAGAGCTTCCTCTTAATTTGCTCTGAGTCATATATATGGTCTGTCTCCAAAAATATATCCTCACCTGGGTCTTTACATCACAGTAAACAAGATGAATCTACCTTTGTCATTTTAACAGATCTTGCTTTATTGAACAATCATAGAATTAAACTTGAGGCATTAGCATCCACACAGGTCCAGATGCCAATTCATTTGTTCCAACATCTGCAAGAGTTCCCCCTGGGGTGAGAGACTGCTCTCTTCCCTCTGAGCATTTTAGTCCCATAATGTGACCTGTCTCCTAGACATTTGCATACCTCTGGTATTGAGTCAATCATCTAAGAAGAGGTTTTTCTCACCTGCAGGTGTTGTCTGGCATTTGCAGTGGTTCTCCCTCACTCCTCTCTCAGTTGCTGCAGGCAGCATTCCCGTGGCAGGAAGCAAGAGCGCTGCAAGCAGATTTACCGCCCCAGTGCAGATGCACAAGAGGGCATACAGACACACAGCCAAGCCAGTTCTGCATGCAGAGGCACGGCACCAGTGCCTCAGGGCACGATTTCCCCTGTGGAACATTCCTATGGCAGCTGCCCAGACCCCGAGTCTGGCAGGATTGAGGAAACAGGCTCAGTGCTGCAGGTGTGCTGTGTGTGGACATCCTCCATCACCCTTCCCCTGCCACGGCCTCCACACAGGGCTGGACACACCTGAGCCTCCCACAGGCATGTGAAGGTCAGGAGGAGCAACTCTTTTGTATTCTGTAATATTGCAGCTAACAAAGAGAAACCAGAACATGTTTATTTTCAACTTCTGATTTTACAGCTCTCCTATTTATGCTATTGATCTACTAAAAGGACAAGATGAAATTCAAG